GCTGTGTGATCATGTGAAGAAAGAAGTTCCGTCATCATGGGAACCTGCTGCACTAGCTAGGTACAACTTGCAAGGCAGCACTTTCATTCCCTTTTTTCTTTGTGTGTTATGTGTGGACCTACTGTTTCTGTATATATCCAGGCTGGTATTGTAGGTTTGATCCTTTCATTCACTGAAGTATTTCTCTTTTTCTTTTTTCTCTTTTGGTTGGTTGTTGGGGGAGGTTGTGAGATGAAATGCCCCTCCAGGAAGGGGGTTTTGATGTCAACATCACCTATTGTGTTTACATCTGGTACAAAAAACAATTTTTGCAAACTTTATATTCAGATATAGCTTGCACAAACTTTGTGTTTGTGCTCAAGTTTATGAAACTACTTTTAACCTGTGACACAATCTGTGCAATGATTGCCTTGTTTTCCGACTTCCTCACTACCAATTGCATGGCCATAGTTTATTTCCAGTCTACGTGTGAGTGAAACTGTGGAACATTACTATCTGCATGTGAGATAGATTAAACCTTTGATTAGTATGAAAGCAGTTAAGGTTATATTGGGTTACGTATTATCAAACTAAAAGAAGGTGAACTATTTCCACTTCTTTGTTTAAGAGATGCATCTATGGGGCCAAATCTCTTTGATACATGGCTGAGGGTTTCCTTGGGGAAACTCCAACATCTGTTAATCAAAGCTGGGGTAAGAGGAGGGAGAGAACTCTTCACTTGTCATGTGTAGGTTATGAGCATCGACCTCTTCATGTTATCTTGTTTTATGTTCCATGTCCTAATCTTTGCTAGAAGCTCTTTTCATGCTAAATATATTTTTCATCTACTTTAACAGGTTCATTGAAAAATTTGGCACCCATGTTATTGTTGGTGTGAAGATGGGTGGGAGGGATGTAGTATACATGAAGCAGCAGCATTCTTCATCGCTTCAACCTGCTGATGTGCAGAAAAGATTGAAGGCTATGGCTGATAAAAGGTTTTTAGATGCAAGTGGAAAATATGGAACAGAGTCTGAAAAAGCATACCACAATGAGAAGGTTTAGAAATAAGATCTTTTACTCTTCTGGCAACTTCCCATACAGAAGAATTCTGGTGTAAACGGGCATTTATTTCTTTCATCTGGCTAAATTAACTGAAATTGGTCTTTGAGGCCACTGAAGATGGATGCTAATCACATGAGTTCAAGCAAACTAATACGATAACTACCCAACAAACCACCCTAGCAATTTGCTTCCTCACGAACTGATTACCAGTTGAGAGAACCAAAGAATTGGGTTAATCCATTCAATTTGATGCCAGTTCTTTTATGGCGATTACCATAAAAAAGGTTTTTGTTGCAATCAGGCATGTGCTAGATAAACCAAGAATAAGCGGATTGCATAGAGTTTTCACACACTTCTTTTCCTATGTAATTTAGTGGAGCTCATCAGGGGTTGCCTTGTTTAGCATGCATGGGTCATAACTAATGTGCCCACTTGTAATATCATCCTATTTATCAAGATAGATAAAGAATTTGTGTTACCCCTTGTATTTTTTTCTCTCTCTCTGTTTTTTTTTGGGGTGGGGGGGGGGAAGGGGTGGTGGCAATTAATCTGAATATTTAATTCATTGAAACCTTGTTGAATTGTTCATTTTTGCAGTTTGAAGTCCGGGAACAACGACTAAGATTTGCAAATAGTGGGACATCAAGTTCTTACTCACATAAGGACGTAAGTCTTCCAGATGCCAGTTTGAAATCTGTTTACTTGCTGCCTTCTAGCATATAAGCAATTTGGGACTTGTTAATTGAATGTAAAATTGCAGGATATTGTTAGCATTTGCAAGAGGAGAGGTGGAAATGACAATAAAAACTTCAGTCATAATGAGTGGTTACAAACTGTGCAATTGGAGCCTGATGTGATTTCAATGTCATTCATTCCAGTAACATCCCTATTAAATGGAGTCCGTGGAAGTGGATTTTTGATCCATGCCATTAATCTATATTTGAGATGTAAGTAAGATCTAGCATCTTTTGCTTTAGGCTATTTTAAACACCTATAGGGGTACCCTGTGATTTCATATTTTTCAGTCATTTGATTATTCAAACATTTTCTTCAATGAGACTATAAAAGGGGAGGGTTGTTTCCTTCAAGACAGATTGCTTTTGAGCTCCTGTGAGTGGCAAGCTGGTGACTGATCCAACAGAGTCTTAAGTTGTTGAAGAAAAGGGCGAAAAAACAACTGGGGGAGTATAGAAGCACCAAAGGGTTGGGCAGGACATAATTGTCTTCTACATCTCTTCCTAGACCTACTTGAGCATATATGAATTCTGATGCATCTTCTTTCCTGCTTCTGTTTGCAGATAAACCACCTATTGAAGAACTTCATCAATTTTTGGAATTCCAGTTGCCTAGGCAGTGGGCTCCTGTGTTCAGTGACCTTCCTCTTGGTCCACAGAGGAGGCAGCAAAGCACAGCTTCCCTGCAGTTTAGTTTAATGGGTCCCAAGCTCTACGTAAACACTGCTCTGGTAAAGTGTTTTTACTTATTAGTTTGACTCTCCTTCGGTTTCTTATAGACTGCCTGATTTTATGCCCCTCCCAGCTGTCCTTTAATTTGTATCTTAGTGTAGCTTCAACAAGTACCAAAAAGAGCTGAATCCTTCCGTACATACTATATTATAAAGTTGCAGTATGTAGAAGGGTGACTATTTTCTTCCCTCCCAAACCCCCACCACACCAAAAAAAAAAAAAGAAAGAACAACTAAATGGAAATAGAAACAGAAAAGAATGCCGTGTCTTCTCACAGAGACTTCCTTGTGTTTTGCTGCCTTTGGTATTTATTAGTCTGCAATTTTGGCTGAAAACTTGGTGTCCAATTTCTTGATAAATGTATCAAGCTTACCAGTTCTGAATCTTCTCTTATTTCAAGAGGTGTACCATTTAGAAGCACTTGATAGCATCCTGAACATAATTTTAACCATACGTCTATGTATTCTTTTACATGGCTTCATATTATAAATTCTAATGCATGGAGGGAGGAGGAAGAGAATGGCAGTAATAGTGCAGTGCTGGAACACAGGCAGTGAACAACAAGGATTACTGCTCTAATATTTTTCAACTTCTTGCCAACCAATTGTCTGTACATGAAAATATCTGCTGATGCAAATCTCTTTCCCCAAGTTCATTTCTTATTTGTTGCTTACAAAAGCCTTGTTGATATGGCATGAGACCTGGTTTGTTGTGCTGATAGTACAGAAACTATTTGAGAAAAACCATATGTTTCTGCTGGAATGGTTTTCTGGAAAATAAGTAGTAAAGAAATGGAAAAGAAAGTGACTTATCCATATCTTTTCAGTAATCACTGCTTTTGTTCTTGGTGAATTATGTTGTGCTTTCTTCCAATGGTAATTTGATATTAATCATTCAGGTTGACGTAGGCAAAAGGCCTGTGACTGGTCTTCGACTGTTTCTTGAGGGTAAAAGGAGCAATCGCTTGGCCATACACTTGCAGCATCTCTCATCTCTACCCAAAATTTTCCAACTCGTGGATGATCCAAATGGGAATTTCCTCCATGAGTCTTGTGATCGTAAATACTTTGAAAAGATTCAGTGGAAGAACTTCTCTCATGTATGTACAGCTCCTGTTGAATCTGATGAGGATCTCTCTATTGTAACTGGAGCACAGTTACAAGTCAGGGATTATGGGTTCAAAAATATTCTTTTCTTACGACTTCGTTTCTCAACTGTTCTGGGGGCCACTGTCGTAAAACATCCTGAATGGGATGGATCCCCGGGATTGGCACGTAAATCTGGACTTATATCAACTCTGATTAGTCATCATTTTACATCTGTTTCAAAGCCACCTCCAGAGCCAGCTGATGTGAACATAAACTCTGCTGTTTACCCTGGTGGCCCTCCTGTTCCTGTACAGGCGCCTAAACTGCTGAAATTTGTTGACACAACCGAGATGACAAGAGGGCCACAAGAAACTCCTGGGTATTGGGTTGTTTCAGGTGCAAGACTGATGGTTGAGAAGGGTAGGATCTCACTCAGGGTAAAGTACGCCTTACTGACTGTAATACAACCTGATGAAGATATTCCAGAATAAATTTAGGTTAGATTTTCATTGTAACTTTTCTTGAGAGTTAACAGCATAGAGGTTGTAATTCAGACCTAAGATGAGAGAGGCAAATCGTTTTAAAGCAGCAACCTTTGGAGGAGCGAGGTGGTCCCTAACCAGTCGTCTTGTTGCTGCGTAAGCAATTTGAAGCTGGGATGGCTGTTGTACAGAATTGTAAAAGTGGTAGGGGAAAGGAACTGATCTTTATGTATGAGATTGAATGGCGCGGGATTGAACTGACCTCTTTTTTTCTGTTCACATTTTTCTCCTGTGAATGCGAATCTCACAATCTTGCTAGTGCTATATAATTTCCCATGCAATCTTGGCGCATTTCAGCCTGTTAGTTTTGTGCCATACAGTTAGTTTCCACAGAACAAGGCCTCATCTGGCTGAGAAAATGTCTTTAAATGTGAAAATTCGATTTATGGTGTATTCCTCATTCTGAGTTTTATCTACTATGTGAGAGCATTAGCTCTTGAGCCCTTGTCATCCTGCCGAGTGACAGCATTTGCTCTTGAGCAACCCCCCAAGCAGAGGAATTATCTACTGAAAAGATGTCTTGAACAGTTGTGCGCCCCTTTGTACTTGGGTTGCACTGAAAGAGCTTTTATGCATAGTCTTATCCAATAGCAACAAAAAAAATTTCTTTTTTGGGTAATATAAGCTTAGGCTAGGTTAGGTTTATAGGTTATGTATGACTAACGAGTTTTGTTTTTTCCCTTTTAAGCTACGTAGTACAGGCTGAAAGAAGACAATTCAATTCGTTTTCCTCCCGAAACATGGCCAAAATTTTCCTGAGAAACGTTATTTGTCATTTGTCAAAAGCACACTGTGAAGAGAGGAGACACAAAGCTTTTCAGCGGAAGCAGCAGTTTTCAGCTTTGATTCAAGTCTCCTACTGGAAGTGGAAGTTTTCAGCGGATTGTCATATAAGATGCAAGATTGAAGGTCTATTACACAGAACAAACGAGAACGTCATTGTGGGGGAGTTTCTTTACCTAAGCATCCAAAACCATATATGTTTTATACATTCATCCACGAAGTTGAGGCATCCAAACCGAAGATTACTTGGTGGTTTATCACGTAGCAGTGGACACACCGAGGAAAGACTAACTATATATGTTCATGGGGGGCCAGCACACCCCTTCCCTTGAACAAGGAAGAGGAGCTGGTTGGGCAATGAATGTAGGATACTGCTGCCCTGGCATTAAGACGGAGAAGTCCGAGGAATACGAAATTGTTGATACCTGCAGCCACAGAAATTAGACATTCAAACCATGAGAGATACGACGTTTTTAAAAAGGAAGAATTGCTGGCAGGAACATACCCTTTGGGGATCTTGGAGTTTCTGCATTTGCGTAGATCGCAAGGTCCTGCTGCTGCCACCTTGAGGTGAAGAAAAAGTCTCACTTGGCTTGAAAAGATGCTCGAAGATGGCCATTATGACAAACATTGAAATTAAGATAGCCGTGGCAACAAAACCAAAAGAAAGGGCATTCATTGATGTCCCAAAGTTTTTCCATGGACCTTCCTGATTAACTTCTGTTTGAGATGGACTAGGATCTGAGCTGGAGTAGATGTTCCAATCTTCTGGTCTTTCAGAATTGAACCTGTTCATTCTAAGTTACATGGACTTCCAGAACAAGCTGATTGCATGAAGAGCATTAGGATCTCATTCTTAACAGTTACAACTAATGATCGGTGTTTCATCCACAAAATGTTTATGCTTATTCGCCACTGATCAGCAATCCTGGTGGAAAGGAAAATGATAAAGCAATCAACATTGTTTTCAGGACTAAGAAACTGATGACCTTTCAATGTAACGGCTAAAGAACAACAATTATAAGGCCAAACGTTAATTTCTCTAGTCTTAGATGGGCTTCCCGTGATGTGCTTTCATGGAAAATGGTCCTCAACTTTGCCCCTAAATCTGTCAAAAGCATTTAGCAAATCTCCGTACGTATTGCTTGAGATAGCATTTCGCAAATAGGACATTAGATTCCAAAGATATCCACAAAGAGAACATTCTACTAAATTGTTATTTGGAAGATGAAGAGCAAAATTTCTTAGAATACTTCCTACATGTGATGATGGAACTTTTTTCAAATTCCAGTTTGATAAATAATGGGGCTCTTTTTCAAATCCCAGTTTGATAAATAACATTTCTTCCCTTTATCATCACATAACTCAATATATGCTATTTTCAATGCTATTGCTCTATTGGCTTTTGCCAAATTTCAGCCCCCCCGGTCTTTATATTTTTCTAGTTTCCTACTACCAAGTGGTCGTTCTACTGAGGCCTGTCCTGTTAAAATACATATAAAAAGTTGTTGAAGAAGTTGTGGTTAAAGCATGCTTAGAAGCTCAGGGACATGATTGACAGAGAACTGTATATCAACCTGTTTGGAGGAGAACGATTAAAAGGGCAAGAGAAGGTCAAATTGATGAAATGTACTTTGGCCTTCAAGAAATGGACATGAGATGAATGTTGTGCTTTGTGTTTATTTCCAACAAAGAAACGAAGTAGTATAATATTATGCAGTGCAAAGAAAGTACTGGAATGAGTTCCTCTTTTACTGGGACAGTTGGTAATGATGAAAAGTTGGACGGAAAGTTTCCTCTTCTGATGTAAATGTTCTTTTGGTGGACTGGATGAATGAGACCTCTCTTTACCCAAAGAACTTGTGAAAACTCACCATTTTGCTTACATTGCGTGGGAAGTTCTGCTAATTCAAACCACTGCAGAAGCTTGGAACTATTCCACAACAATGTATGTCAACAAGGAAGTGGACAATCAAGATCATGATTTCATGACTATTGCTAATAGAGAAACAGAAATTCAAATTCTATACGTTCCTTGAAAGCAGATGCAAGGTGAGGGTAATGTAAACTAGAAGAAGAAGCAGCAGCAGAAAATTTAATGACTTCTCACCAACAAGTGCTATCAGAAGGTTGAACCTGCAAGCCTTTCAGTGGGATCGATGCACTTCTTCTTTCTTTCGGCTGGCAGCACCCAATTAAAATGATGGATTGAAACTGAAAATCAGCAGACACCAAGATGGTCTTCGGTGAAATTGTTAAGACATTAGCCCTCTATCCTGAGGAGGAGGAGGAGGAGGAGGAACAAGCATTATTAATTCAGTAGCCTTCTCATTCAAAAAAAAAAAAAAAAAAATATATATATATATATATATATATAATATATATATAGAGGTTCAATTGGTTTACCTGTCATGGAAAGAAAAGACAGTCACATTATTCCAGGCATTGCTATCTACTAGTAGAGAATGTTAGCTCTCAGGCTAACTAGCTTTATACTCGGTGGAAAATGTGAAGACAAAGTTATATGATAATTTTCGCTGGTACACTTTTTCATGTTTTGATGTTCATGATCCTGATGCTTAACTTAATGAATACTATACCGTGTCTCAGGATGAAACTTAAAGAAATATAAAAGTATGGGCCTCCTTTGTCTGTCTGAAGAGTGCAGAGCCAAAACCAGGGTGGTCTATTCTATTCTATTCTACTGGTGCATCCTAAAGCAATTTGATCAATGTTGGAATGGCACTGGAGGGAAATCAAAATTCACCATTCCAGACCCTAACAAAGAGGCAATCTGCCTAATACTATATATAGGAGTTTATTTGAGATAATTACTGCAGCAATTTTTTTTTTTTTTGTGTTGTGACGTATATGAGATGAAAAGGTGATTAAAAAGATAAAAGGGTGATTGAAATTTGTAAAATAAATTATTTTACTTGAAATTATCTCATTCCAGACAAACCCCTATATAATTTCATTGCTAGTCAAGAAAAAGTTCAATGCAAGTATATGTTATTAATATGTATCAGCAATCTCTTAGCAGGGGAATGTACAGTGAAGCTGAGTGAATGGAATAGGAATCCTGAGTTGATTTTGATGTGACGGTGATATTTTCAAAATCTTACATCCCACTAATTAAACATGAAATCATATATCCAACTAATTAAATATGAATCTTACAATAGTAGTGTCAAATTTGGTTTCGTCAAGAATAATTTACCTTACCGTTTAAAAGTACAAAAAAGTTTGCCCGTTTTAAGTACTCATTTCTCAGCTTTCAATCAATAGTACTGTGGGAATCAAACATTTCGACGCTTATGAATTTGCAATTGAGCATATTATTGATTCCAGGCTGCATTTTGAGAGTGTTTAAATTTTAAAGCATAATCCCTCTCTTTCTCAAAACTTGTTGATTGTGATATGGGAATAGCTTCATCATATCTCGAATGCTAATCCATGCAAGTATGAGAAGCAGGTCACATCCAACTTTGGCCAAATCGCAACTCTTTTTTGAAAAGATGAAATGTGTGGAGCATGATTCCACATCAGTCATAAGAGGTTTTGAATAAAGTTAGAAAATATTATTAGCTTAAAATGGGATTAAGAAATTCTTTATATTACTATACGAGTTATTGTCACTTTATCCTTTTAAACTATATCACTGCTATCAATTTACTCTCTAACATTATCTTTTAGTCACTTCATCCTCATAAGTAATTCAACCCAGCATGTTAAGAAATTTTGGACAAAAATACCCCTTTATTCTATAGCATTATCACATTGTTATTATCACTTTATCCCTTGAAATTATAGTGATAAATCGCTTTAATTCCTAACATTATTTTCTAGTCATTTTATCTCATCGTTAATCTAACTAGTATGGTCAAAATTTTTTAAATATATTTACCCTTTTTATATATAATTAAAAATAAAAAAGTTGGAATAGTTATTCTTCCTTTTTTTTCACTTTAAAAGATCCAAAAACATAAAAATAAAAGAGTTTCTCAAATTTCTTTGTTCACACTTATTAATATTAGAAAAAGAAAAGGAGATAAGGAAGAAAGAGACAGAAAATTAGATTTTACAAATAAAAAAATAAAGAAGAGTCTAATATTATCGTATTACTTTAAGGTTGTCGGGATTAGCATTGAAATTTGGTGGTAAACAGAAAAGGAAAATAATTTTAAAATAATAAAAATATTTAATTCTTTCTTATTTGTATTTAAAAAAAAAAGAATTGAGCTCTCTGTCTCTCCCCCTCCCGTCTTTCTATTTTTTTCAATATTAATAAAATTGCCAAAAAGAAAAAGATTAACACTTTGACTTTTTTTCTTGATACTAAAAAGAAGAAAACCTACTCTAAATTTTTTATTTTTTTATTATGCAAAGAGGATGGTGCTTTCTTCTAAAGTCCTTTAATTTGCTAAGTTGGTTTAATGGTAAGATAAATTGTCTAAAAAATAACTTTAGGAGTAAATTAATAATGAGGCTATAGTTTATAGAGGTAAAGCGATAATAGTTTTAAGAGTTAAACATGTCTTTTCACTTTAATTAACAAACTTCGTTAAATTTGACTGTCAGTTTTGGGGGGTTAAAAGATAGTAACTGTGTGTGTTTGGACAGGAGATTATTTACCCAAATATATTTGCTTACATCACTATTACAATTTTCAATACATTTTTTATCTTTCCAATTATTTTTTTATCTCATATACATCACATCATAAAAAATACTACAGTAAAAATATCTCAAATAATTTACAATCCAAACACACGTGTCGACATCCAACGTTAAGGAAGTAAAATGATAATAACCCTTACTATCTTGGCCAAGAAAGAATGGGGCGAGTGGGGTTCAAATTCATGTTTTTCTATAATGATCTGCATGCTTAATTTCAAGCCTATTATTACACAAAATACAAGCAAAGATGGCAGGATGTGCCAAAGTAGGGTGGCAGGGGAAGAACAAGAACTCACATAATAATTAACCAAACCATTTGTTGTAAGTGCCGACCTCAACATGGGCAACCAAACCAGATGGTTTCAATGATGGAAAGTTGGCAAAATATCACAACAAAATCCCACTACGTGCAAAAGTTAAATAAGGCTGCCAAATAAAACGTAAGAAAATAAAAGGCTGCTGCAATTAGCTTTTCCACACGCGATTAGTTTTCTAAGATACCACTCTATCAAACCGTGCAGGTGTGGAATCAAATCATACACAAAACAAATGCAGAACTAAAAAAGGAAGAGAATAAATGTTGGATAGGATATGTTACAGCTATGCAATATCAGAACCACCATGATTTATGTGAAGAAAGAATTGAACCCCGTAAGTAGTACTATTGCTACAAAAAGGGGGGGGGGGGGAGAGGTAGCTCCCAAAGAAAAGAAACTTTTGTTTTGGCAGGAGAAGCACTAAAGTCAATTAATTTACCTCTAATGGTACATAATATGCCAAGGCCGAAGTGGCAAGTGAGCTTTGTTTGAATTGCATTTTTCTAAATTTTTTATTAAAAATTACTGTAACGATTTTAATATTTATGAGATAGAACGGTGATTAAAAATGTGTCCACACAAAAAATTGCAATCCAAATGCGAAGGGAACCATAAAAAGCTTTTGATGGGCATTGAGCCTTGAGACTCTTAATACTATAAAGATTTTCTTTGGGAAAGGATAAAGCTATATACTATATGATTAGTGTGTAAAGAACCTAGAAGATCATGCAAAGAGAGCGTGGAGGGTGGGGGGGGGGTGGTTGGAGGGAGGAAGCTTTTCATTCCCTCAAATTGTACTAGAGGTGGTTCTTTTTCAACAAGCCAATCACCATGTCTTTGAAAGAGAAGGAAAGCCTATCTAAACTTGTTCCTAATGTGATTCCATTTTTATGATTTCAATTATAACCAACCCATGTGCATGTAGATAGGTCTCTTATTGCTGTGTAATTCAAAGGGAAAAGATCTAGAAAACAATCATAGTACTTGATCATAAATAGCATCAAAATCTACACACACACACATATATATACATGTAGATATAGCCAAGAAAAAGTGAAGGATGCTGGTTTACATGCTTGATTAAATATGTAACTTTTTTTAAATTCTATTAGAATTTAATCTATAGCTTCAAAGGTTCTATATAATTTCTGTTAAAAGGGGAGAATAAAGGAATGAACATCTTTTGAGTTTTAGTAGTAACAGACAAGCCAAAATTTAAATTTAAAAGAAAAAGGGGAAGGGGGGGGGGGGTTGGGGAGGGGAGGAAAGAAAATTAATAGAGGTGGTACTTGTCCATCATTTCAGAAAATGTATTTTGGTGTTGACTTATATGTGTTTTCATGCCAGAGAATGTACATTCGATTTTAGAACTACTTACTTTTTTATGTAATGGAGTCACCTCAAGGAAAGAATATAAAATATATTGTTGTTGTATAAGACAAGTTCTGAAAAGAGAAGTGGGGGTCCTGGAAAAGAAAGAACAATAAAGCAAATTGTTGGAAAAAATATATTACTACTGTGTTGAGAGATTGAATCACAATCTTCTTTCTTCTGCTATCTTCTTTGCTAATCACAGTCCTCTTTTTAAGTCTCTCCACCTGAAGCATGCTTCACCTTCCTAGCATGTCCTTACTTACGTATGTTTGTTTACCAATACTTCTTCTAAAAAAAGAAGAAGTCTTTGGAAATAGATTAGATAGACCCTCCTCCCTTTTTTATATAAAAAAAAAAAAAAAAAAAACTTTTGAACATGGCAAAATCCAGGAAACAAAACGCTAAAAATAGCTAGCTCGAATCCTTGGCTATCTATGTACATAAATTTGCCAAGTATTCATCAGGTAGGCTTCTATTTTGATATATAAATACTAGAGGTACTTGAACTGTGCAAAGCACAATTTGGACCCCCTAGAAATTTAGTCGAATGCAGACAAGGGGCAGGGACCTGAACAGTCAACGGCCAGATTTTGACCAAAAAATGTGTGATCCAGATTATAAGTTGTATATCAATTTTTACAACGTGTGTGGGGCCCGTAAATTTTTGTACTAAAGTTACACGTTGTGCAAACAAAGTTACGCCGTGTGCAATCAAAATTACGCGCTGTGTAAAATGACCAAAATGCCCACTGTCCGTCAAATGCATAGCATCAAATTATTTTGACACATGATGAATGAATAGAAAAATAGGAGAAAAATTGAGCATTAAAGCAATTAAATTTGACAAATATTATTTGAACTCTCATTTTTGTTAATCATGCTTTTGTTATTATTTTTATCGTATAGTTTTTGTTTATTGTAGGAACACAATTAACACAATATGGAGTATAAATAAAATTTCTCTCAAAATTTGTTATGAAGAGAAATTCCATCTATGAAATCAACCTCTCTATTTATTGTGATTTGAATAAAGATTTTTGAACCACTATTATGATGATACCCAAAAAGGAGAGAAACTTAATACACTATAAGTGCATTGGTGTATTAATAGTAGTATAGTTTTAGTTAAAACTAAATCAAAAGCAGTTGTAATACTTCTAGTACTTTAATAATGAGAAAAAGTTTAGGAAGCTACTAAAACATGGCACAATCTTCAACATCAATATAGCTTACTATAAACTTTCATATTTTTCTTTCTTTTGATAGAAGAATCCAGTTCATCTATTTAAATTCTGCTTAAAGGTGACAACATTATCCTGCAGCTCCTGAATATAAATAGCAAAGTTAGATAAAAATATGAATTGTCATGTTTCCTGGTCTACATATACAAATTAGAATTGTACTATTTTTTATTGCAAAAACATCTTTTTAATCAAAATTGAAATTTCTAACAATTTTTTGTCAAGTCACACTCTAGGCCGAAAGCCTCAATTGTGACTTCCACCACCGGCTGCAATCCTTGTATACCAACCCAATTCATACTACAATACTTGAGTAATTAAAAAAAAAAAAATTAACTTTAGTTTAAATATATACAAAATCTTATTGGATCCTTCAATTAAATTTAATAGGCCATAAAGTAATTGCAAAAAGAAAGAAATGGAGAAAAACGGAGGTACAATTAATGGAGAAAAAGAAGCGATGGAGTTGATTTCTCAATGAGAAAAAATATTTTAATCCTTTACCCCAATTAAATAAAAAAAGAGAAGGAAAAATTTAGGTAAAATAATCAAAGGTCCACTTGTCAAAAATATATACAATACATGTGTCAAAAAGATGGTTAGCTAGATAAACTTGGCTTTCTTTTTATATACAAGGTAGAGGTAGATTTGGCTTGATGACGGACAGACAACTCGAGTCTAGGCTCTAGAGGCACTCCGCCTCTTTTTCTTCACGTTATCTTTCTTTTTTACTTTCTTTGTCCCATGTGAGATGTGGGCCGCATTTGACGAAGTTTCTTTTACTTGTTCACAAACAGCCAAGCAACAGTAGAGATTAACGTTCTTCAGTTCTTGGCGTGTTTTTTTTTTTTCTCATCAAAAAAATTGTAGAGAGTCAGGGGAGACAATACATAATTGAAGATAGTTGAAATTATGCACTACAAAAGTTTGTACAGCGAAAATTGGAAATTAGATTGAAGAGTCAGTCAGGGCTTTTGTTCTTAATTAAACATGCATGCATAGATACTACTCTTATCAAAATATCATATACTCACATAGGTAAAAAACTACTAATTGATGAGAAACTAGAGAGATTATCATCAAATTAATCCGAGTGTATGATTATGAGTGTTCAGATTCAAGTTTTTTAATTATTATTAGTAAGTTGGTCTTGAGTTTTATGATGATGGAATTGGAGTTATTATCAAGACCTACTACGTACATAAGCCTTGTGGATCCATACGTTCACGTGTGTGATTTCCCCTCTTTTTAAGATCCTTCCTCCGGATGTTCTTGAAACTTGAGAAGAGAAGCGGCAAATTTATATACTATATGTTTTTGACCAGTCAGTCCATTCTTCAATATCTCAGCCGCTGTTTGTGAACTGAGCAATACATAAGCTAGGCTTCAGGATACATTATTATTATAATCTCTTATTCAGTAGGCAGTTCCTCTTCCTTCTTTATCATCAAAATGTGTGAAAAGCCAACTGCACATGTGACACGCACTCCGAAAATTGATTGACTGTTCATGAAACAACAGCCAGCTCCTTCTCTACAATAATACCTTTTGCAAGGTCTGATCTCAAAATGTGTTACAAACTGGAAATTTGGTACGCTAAATTACATATGGCTCCATAAAAGCAAAATGCTTCAATCACAAAACACCACGTGACAAAGTTTTTTTAAAAAAAATTTGTCCGTCCGTCCGTCCAACTAGTCAGCAGAAGAATCCCACACTTTATGCAAAAGCCTGTAAATTTAAGTCAGCATTTGAAGAGTCGAGTATCCGCTCATTGGCGCAATAAACCATTCAGTCATTAAGGATGCGAATGCAGAAGTCGGCCAACAAATACGGAACAGGAGAAACAAATACGGAACAGGAGAAACAAATACGGGATGAAATGATAAAAAAGTGATAACCAAAAGTTCCTACTGGAGACCGCAAACTCCTACTCAACAAATTTGGGATAAATAGATCTCCTCTCTTCTCAGGCTTTGAGTCGTCCATAGAACTTGGCCTTCTCCTCGTTGTCTGGAAGCGACCATGGCCAAATTTCGATGACGTGTCAACAAACTTCAGTTTGATCTCTTCCAATGCAACCCGAGATGTCTGGTTCAAGAGTGACTGCCTCAGAGTCACAACACGCTTCTTTGGCCCCACGCAGCAACCCTTTAGCAACAGATAATCGTCCTTGACAACACCGTAGTGTGGGAAACCTCCCATTGGAGTGATGTCCTTCTCAGTCCTACAAATCAAGATTGCATCAGCAAATTATTTATTTACAGGAATTAAAACGGCTGGCTGGATATAATATTGTGGTTCAATACGACGCATATTTTTCGCCAAAATAGACACAGTCAGGCATCCATGTACCACGCAAACCATCATCTAACCTGTCAAATTCCGTGATAGCAGTATGAGACTCCTGACCAGCTTTCCCCAATCTGTAAATTTTCTTGTTCATCTCTGTGCGGTGGTGGTAACCATTTTGCCCAGCTCTAGCAACTGTAAAAGAAACCCTTGCTGGATGCCAGGCACCAATGCAGGCAACCTTGCGAAGACCACGGTGAGTCTTACGAGGGAGGCGGGTCACACCCCAGCGGGTCACTACACCCTCATAGCCCTTACCTTTGGTTACCCCAATTACATCAATCATCTCATCTTTCCGGAAAACAGCATCCACTGGAATCTGCTTTTCAAAGAAGCTATAAGCATAGTCAACCTTCTTGGCAACATCCCCACCATTGACCTGAATCTCCATCACATGAGCTTTCTTCTGCTTTAGACCCTTCATCTTTCGGATCTGCAAAGTAACATTCAAAATGAAAAGGCTGCAGCAGGAAGCAAAGTACAGTAACACAGGGACAACGGCCAGTGCAGGTCAGAATGATTTACCTGAGTATGAGCCAACACCCGAATAACACAACAGTACTTCTTCATCTTTTCCAGCTGAGCATGAATATCTTTTTTACCTTCTTCAGTCTCATACTTCTTCGCATACTTGGTGAAAGCCTTCTTTTTGGACTTGCACCAATTTTTGTAGAATCTCCTTTTTACTTCCTCACTGAGATGCTGAGCCCAAACAGTGTCCAGACAGCGGAGACCACGGGGCGTCTTGACATAACCAACAACACCAACAACAATCATAGGTGGTGTTTCAATCACCGTCACTGCTTCACAAGTCTCCTTCTTATGCAGTTCTGGATGAACAAGAATAATGTAAGGCAACAAGCAACGTTCTAATTAAAATTCAAAACCGAGTTGAAAAAGAGAAACTAACTTGACCCAGGTTTTTCAACTTCTCTGACAATATGAGTCATCCCAGCTTTATACCCAACAAAAGCAGTCAACCTACAAGGTTTTGTGGTATCATCTTTGGGGAATGCCTTCACTGCATAATCAACAAACAGAATAATATCAGAACCTAATTGCAAAACCCAACAATAATAAGACTCAAATAGCTGAATAAGGAGACAGTATGCAATCCAACTTATTAGCAATTTCATCCATTCAATCATGGCTCATGAGCAAACATGGAAACAAAATAATCAGACTGCTTAAATAATAATAAGTATACCTCAAACCAACAAAGTATGCTAACCTAAACAATCACAAGTCAAACCAAGCAGCCCAAAAGCAAAGAGGAAGAAGTTCAGCAAAAAATATAAACAAAACTAGGGTAATGCCTCCATATCTGACACTCAGGTGTAGCAGAAACAGTTATCCGAGAGATGATTGAACAGGTACCAACGGCAAATTTGCAAATCAGACACAACATACAGAATTACATCGGAAAAGGCCAGCTACCGGCTCCCAGAGGACATACAAATCAGAATCATATTGGTCTCAGGAAGACTACAGGATTCTCAACATGGAAAACCTACAATGTGCAAGGCATAGAAGTGGAGAAGAAGAAGTTTCATAGTACTCTAGTTCTAATTACAACTGAAAAGTCAAGAGGACAGATTTCTAGTATCATCAAGAACTCTAGCACTGAAAACACATAGAGCACGGTTGTAAATTAACACACATCTTGAAATACACAAGAACATTGATAAACGTCAGATTTGTAATCATAGGACACATACTGCAATTGGCTAAACAAGCATGGAAAAGACTCCACATGTACAAGAAACACAAACCAGTCTGATTGTCAATCATAGAAGCAATCAATATATGTCAAGCAATTATAAAGTTTTGCTAAAACCGGTGGCGCGATGCTCGTTTTCTGGGAGAAATCCCAAAGAACCATGCCTTGGGTGTTCAAATTTGCGATGCGACATCCTTCCTTCTAGTAACTCTGCAAAAATCTAGTAAAACCAAGCTTGCTACTTTTAAAATGTTGTAAATCTTAGTTTAGTATGATACTCTATGTTGTAAATTTTCCATGTAGCAACAAACTAGCAATTTCTAGGGAGGTTAAAAAAATTACGTAAGCAAAAGTGCTATAAGCAGCAAAAGCAAACATGCGACAATGATCATCATCTCCAGCAAATGAATAGAAATGCTCCCACACCAAAGGCCTATGGCACCATGATTCTGTATGCCAATTCTCAAGCTCATTGGTATTTCTTCCCAAAAACCCCAACAAATTTTATTGGGGCATTGGCAAAAGAGCCTTTTTGAGACTCCAGCCTTGATTACTCATTCCAGAGGGAGTACATTCCAATCAATGCCTGGAAAAGGCCAATGCCAAACATGTTCACCGCCCCCAAGGCACTTGTATTTACTCTTTCAAAATCATTTTCTAATTAGAATTTTCAAAATCATTATAGCTACCATAAACTTTAAACTTAAACAACATAGCAGTAAATTAGTATATAAAAACAAGTTATCGATTTAAAAAAATCATTAAATTAGAAAAAAATAGCAATATTGAGATTAGCTACTACATAATGAAAGCTTAATTATCACGACCACACAAATCAGAACCTTGTAAGCATAGGATCTGAATTCACTACTAATAACACTAGCAGAAATGCAAAAACAAATATAAACTGAAGCTAGAATTCTATGTTTTTCCAGCAAAATTAAAGAAAAATAGTTCAAATAAAAGCAAAATTTAGCATGCTGCAAGTGCTCCAATTTTTTTTAATTCTTTTAGCTTTTCGGTTTTCTAGCAAACAGATCAAAGGCAGGTGAATTTTACAAGATTTAGATTATGCCAATTTTTTGCTATAAAATCGAACGATATTACCTCGACGGAAGAGAAGCGGATGAGAGAAAAATAAGCTAACCCGCAGAGCGAACACTATCAGACCGCAGTAATCCTAGACTCGAGCGCAAGGCTGATTTGTAAGGGAATTTATCCAGAGTTAAGATATTATCTGACGGCAGTGATTAAATGAGAACAGCAAATGCTTGATATTAGCCGTTGGATAGGTTTTAGGGTTTGGTTTGCGTGGTTATAGTTTTATTCTCTAATGGGCCTGTTTGTAGGAGTTGCTTAACTCATTATAATGGGCCTGTTTCTAGGAGTTGCTTAACTGATAATAATGGGCCAATAACATAGGCCTGTTGTCGTATGCCTTTCTTCCTTTTTCTTTCGTTCTGGCCCTTTTTCCAGTTGTTGGAGAATACCTTGCCCTTGGACCCGTATCCTTTCTGATAATTCTTGCTCTTTTAAGTCCTTTAACAAATTAATTTCTCTTTCCTTTGAGGAATAAAGCTTCAAATTTCCACAACAAAAACAAAGCACGGTCTGTATTTTTTAAAATGTTTATGGAAATCGTTTCTCACATACTTATATTAACTTTTCACATCGTGAGATTTGTATTAACTTGTTTCGTACAACGAAAAACCTGACTCCCTTCTAGACTTTAGGATTTTAACATGTAAAGATTACCAATCTGACAATATGCTCATGCAATGCACATATAAGCTCCCTTTAGGTGTTTTTGGGCAAAATTTTCAAACCAATTCTTAGGGTGAGTTTGATAAAATTGAAGTTTGAAAATCGAAATCTAAAATTTAAACTTATTAAGTTATTAAATTCTTAAGTACTAAATATGATGCATTTGAGTGTATATCACATTAAATAATAAGTGAATAGCGCATCACTTATTTTTTGAGAGCAAATTTTGCCTAAAAAATTTAGTGTCATATTAATTTTTTGTTATCAAACGAGTCCAAACATGTTAAGATTTGAATTTATTAAATTTAAGTGCTGAATTGAATTATCAAACAAAACCTTTGTTTCTTCACTACTTTCCTGGTTGTTGCCAAGTCAGGTGATTGTGGTGTAACATTTGTCTCTTAGATAAGATACTTCCATGCCAAAAATTGGCCTTAGACAACAGGTGAGGAATGTATGCACACAAAAATTAAGTAGATTCTTGTGGCACCCTAATCCTCGTGCATGCACACATAATTATTATTTGTTAAATGCCACGCCAAAATGCACTGATGTATTTATTGAACATTTTGCTTACACGAACGCAGCAAGTTAGCAATACACAAAGCGTTTGCAATGGCAAGGGCAACATGAAATGCCTGCTACAAATAAAAGTATGCAAAAGCAAAGACTAAAGGCAGCTAACCAAATGGGCTCCATGTTTGGAGTTTCAAACTCTTAATTGAATGCCACTAAGACTCTGTTTGAACTTGTAGGCCAACAGTGGTTTTGATTTTTCGAGCCCAATACATTATAGGGCCCATAACGGGTTTTTGAGAGACCGGCGTTGTTGGACGGCAAGTTTTTAGAATTTTTGTAAAAAAATATACGGTGGCAACGTGATGTATGTGAAATAAAAAGTAATTGAAAAATGTATCGAGAGAATTTTTCTGCTAAACCCCGTAATCCAAATAGGGTCAAGACTTTCAAACTTGTATTTGATTTGCATGCTATGTTACTGCCTAAAATAATCTTAGAAGTTGACATAAAGGTCATGTTTGATAGCTCAATCCAACACTTAAAATTAATGGATTCAGATCTTAATATATTTAGACCGTTTGATAATATCAAAAATTGAACATCTGAAATAATTAATCGGTGTTGAATTTTTTAGGCAAAACTTGCTCGTAAAATTAAGTGATAAACTATTCATTTACCAATAAATATGATATACACTCAAATGTATTAAATTTAATATTTAATAATTTAATAACTTAATGAATTTATTATTTAGATTTTAGATTTTAAACTTAGTTTTTAGATTTCAGTTTTATCAAATGCACCCAAAATGTTCTTGAAATTCCAAATTTAGGGTACGGGAAGAGAGTCCAAAATTCTAAGGCAAGCAAACATGATGGCCGACCGTGAGGTCAATGAATTTCAGAAACGACATGGCAGATGCTTGCAATTGTGGCAAAGCCAAAAGCGCGTACAACTAGGGATGGCAATCCCGCGGCGGGCTAATGGGGAGCGGGTTGGGGCGGGGGCGGGGGAATTCCCCCTGACTTAGAAACGGGGCGGGGGCGGAAGGTGTATCCCCGCTACATCCCCCGTCCCGCCACCCGCTTTAAAAAAATAAATATATAAAATATATATGTATACAATTATATATATAATATATAATTTAATTAGTTATAAATTTATGATAATGATATTATTAGTTATATGTATTATATGATGTCTATTAGTATATATAATATAATTGATATTATTAATTATATTAATAATTATATATGTGTACTAATACAAATTATTAATTAGTTATACTAAATTTATTAATACATTTATACTAAATTCCTAATTACACTTAATACAATATCATTTTTTTCTTAAAAAAAGCACAAGCACAATAATGAATTAGTGATTGTATTTGTGCCAAAAGTGAAAACTTGACTACTTTAGTTATATTTATTTCATCATGTTGGATTGTATTCAAATAATTTTTGTTTGATTGTTATTATAAGTTTCAATTATAAAATTACAATAAATAATAATTTGATGATGTGTTAATATTTTAGTACTTGATTATTTGCTAAATTTTAACCATAATAAAATTATATAACAAATTTTTATTAGTCCCGCGGGAGCATCCACGGGAGAAGCGGGGTGGGGCGGGGGCGGAGGGAGTTTGTAAGCAGCGGGGCGAGGGATGGAGGAGAGGTCCCCCGCCCCAACCCCGCCCCGTTGCCCTTCCTACGTACAACGTCAACAAAACTAACCTTTTTTAGGAAACAGAAGGGGTCCTCCGCCCCAACCCCGTCCCGTTGCCCTCCCTACGTACAACGTCAGCAAAACTAACCTTTTTTAGGAAACAGAAAATAATAACAAGGTCAATTGATTTCCTACTGGGGAAGTGGAACTGGAATCAAAATTCAAAATCCCAGAATGGAATCGATGTATCTTATTCCTACATTCTTGTTTGGTTTAACTAATTCTTATTCCGCTGTCATTTTAGTCTGAGGATCAAATAGAGGGACTGTACCAATACTTAATTAAGTAAGTGGACACTCATTTTCAGTATCATCACCCCGGCACTGAATTTCTCATTCCCAAATACTGGCTATCGAAATCCCAAACCCAATCTAAAAATATGAAATGACCCATGTATAATTCTAGCATCCTGAGTGGTCCTGTCTTTTAGAATTAGATCTCATCGTGTATATAAAATAAAAGTTCATGCAGCTGCTTCCTAGTTTAGCTGTTTTGAGTCCTTCTGACACGCCAACTCAAACCCTCCAGTAAAGTTACAAGAAAGAAAGCATAAAGAGCCCAAATAGGATAAGGGTTCAGCATCATGAAGCTTACTTTCTGCTTTAGGTTTTGCTTTAACTCTATCCAGCTAAAAATGAAAGAAAATGCGAATTTATTTGTGTGAGAGACTAGACTGGGCATGGGCGTAGAGATGAAGTGTTTCTTGTTTTCTTCTTAGTAATCAAAGCAATTACGGAAATTATATTGATGAGTTTTTGTCATGGCAATGTGATATGTGATCAATTTAATTAGTCCGCTTAATTGTACGTAGTTGCCAATTTCACTGATTTGATTTGTTTGATCCAACTTTGAACACTAGATAACCATATGTAACCAAAGAAATGGCTTTGGCTAGATCTGATTGCATTCTCTCCACATTGTGAAAAAACAACAAAATAGTACTTTAAAGAGATCCCCCCCCCCCCCCCAAAAATAAAAAACCTTCGAGGACATCATGAAAGCTTGCTAGCTAGTATCTAAGCATTATCTTTTACGTACAGCTACGAAAGGGGATGGCTCACAACTTTGGACAAAAAGAGTAACTCAGGCGAGAATTTGGGGGGGGGGGTGAATATATGCTTTGGCTAGGTCGGGAAATGGGGATGAATACTGAATGAGAGAATTCTTGATTTAGAAAGCATGTTTGTGGGAGCAATGAGTGACAATGATGCTCAAAAAGATGGAGAGGGTGGACAAAGCCCATTTGAACATGACTTGGATTTCCACCAATGCCAGGAGTGACCAACCCCACAGATTTAAGGTCAATGCCACAATATTTGTCAAATTGGAGATGTGTAAACAATAATTGTACATACAAATCAATGTATAGGCGCGGACCTAAATGTACATAGCAAGCTAGGTTCCTTGACATGGACATGCAATATGCTTTCTCATTAATCCATCTTGCCCTTCTTTTGCATTGTATGCTGATCACTAATTTTGTTTTTTATATATACAAAAAATTTTGGATGAGTTCGATTTCGATCATCATTACGAGTAGAAGTATATCCCCGAAATCATAAGTTATTTATGGGAGTTCTTATAGATCGTTCACCGATATAATCATGACATCGACAGCGAGATTCGAACATACGATTTTGTGAGAAAATGATACGTTCTTATTAATGAGTCAACACAAGTTGGTAATGTTGATTGATCAGTATCAGGCTGGACGAATGATGTCTTTTACTTATATATATATATATATATATATTTTGGGAAGAGGGAGGGGGGTTGGGGATAAATACAAAGAGCAAAACAAAGTAGAGAAAAAGAAATCGGAGGCAATGAGACATTTCATTAATCTAGGTTAAACAAACAAACTTCTTTATAACTATTGAATTAAAAGCAAGATTAATAGAACTTAGGTGAAGAATGCAAAGCCCTTTTATCAAAAGCAGGAGCCAGTGTGATCAATGGCAAAGTTGATAAAAATTCTTCTCTTTTTAATAGTAAAATATTCGGATTGTGATTTCAGCATCTCATTTGAATGTTAAAGGCTCCTAGTAGCTACGGGAGAATGCAACTTTTCTGTATTTTGCGTGGTTTGAGAGCTAACAAGTTAGAAGAACTTGGACAAGCACCGCAGAATATGATACTAACAACTTAACTCTGTTT